CACATAGATGTTATCATAGACGCCATTTTTTTTGTTACTGATTTCTTTTTATTATTTTTCTTTCTTTTTTTTATATCATTTCGTTTTTTATTTCTTTTCCTGGTTTTATCATTTTTTTATCTCCCTGCAACTACCTTTAATTTTTTTTTTTTTGTAAAGAAGCGATAGGCTATGAGTTAAGGAAAAAAAAAGAAAGAAACAGAAAAAAATATAAATAAAGATATGAATAAAAATGCTTTAGAATTCTTTAGAGTAATTCAAGAAAAAAAATCAAAATTCTTTCTAACGAAACAACCAGCAATTTTTTAAACTTTCCAGTAAGAAAATATCGGTAATAAAATATGGAAAAAATGCGTATAGTTAAGGGCCTTATATGCTACAGTTTATGATTTTCAGAAAATACAAGATCAATGGTGTCTTTTTTATTAAAAATTCCTGATTGTTATCATTGTGATTTTTTTTTTTTTACACATGGTAAATTCTGTTTAAGAAGAATTGTTTCTCTCTGGTCTGTAGATTCAAAGAAAGAAAAATGGGTTGATATGCGACATTTCTCTTAAATTGTATACTTCTTGGTCACAGCAAGGTAATCTTCTATGTGTCGTGTCTCTTGATGACGTAAGCAATCATGACTTTCCATAACTTCCTGTCCTTGGTAGCGCTCAGAAAGGCTTTTCTGTTTGCTATCTCTTCTATTCGCAGTTCTACCAACCATTTAGATAGGTTCTTCGCTGCTATCTCTGTCTCTCTTGTCTTCAATATGTCCTGCGTGTGTCAAGTTTTCAACGTCCCCTTTCCTCATTATATTCTCGAGAAATTTTAATTGTTTGGTTTGGTTTGTTTTTCCGGCACATCAACATCAATGGGTTATTTAATGCCGACAAATTTTTTATTGCTGGTAATATTTTGTTTTTTTTTGTCAAAAAAAGTATAATATTTTTTTTCAAAAACGTATTCTTGGTATTTCTTTTTCCAAAATGTATTGCTGGTAATGCTTTTCTTTTTTTCTTCAAAAATTACAAAAAATTATTACTGATAATTTTTTACAAAGTATTTCTGATATTAAAACCTATTTTTACATTTTCATAGTGTTTTGATCCCAATTTGAGGGTTAACTATTTGTCCATAGCAGGAACCCTAATAGGTGCTACCACCCCGGGTCAGAGTGGACCTGGGAACATCAACAATTAAGAGGTGGTTCCACGCTCCTCAAAACCTCCTGTTCAGAGACCTTGCTGCTGGACGTAGTTTATCGTCTTACCCAGGACGTGGATGTAGTTTATCGTCATACCCAGGACGGAGATGAGACCGGAGGATGATATAAACCTGGAATAAGTATAGAAGCTCTTTCAGTTTCTCATTTGATTGTTTCAACTCATTTGCTCGTTGACACGAAAAAATGGAAGAGCACTTCGACGTGGTGTAATGGTTAGCACGCTTGTCTCGTTAAATCAATTATGATTGAGTTGTGAGTTGGATTCTCACTAAGTGTTTCACACATTTGGCCTTGTGCCACATCTAACCTACTCTTAGAATATCATTTAAGGGCTCTTCAAGGTGGTGTAATGGTTAGCAAGCACGTTTCCCTTAATCCATTATGGCTTAGTAGTGAGTTCGATCCTCATTGGGTACCCAGCACTTTCAGCCTTGTGTTACACTTCAGTCAGTCATGTATGTGCCATGCGTAGACTTTTGATACATGACTAACAAGGCATATTTTTTCCGCAGTAGGTTGCCATTTCTTGCTGCGGTAGACCAGTTACCATCCAAGGCTATAGAACCCGGTCTGTCCTGCTATTTACCCATAAGTGGGGCAGGAGAAGAAGAGAATTCATACCTTTCTCAAGGATATTAGCACGAAAATTTTAATTTTGGTTTGAAGTATAAGCGACCGTTTTATTTTTATTTTTGTTGAAAGTTTCCTGTTAGTCACATGTTCAAATCCTGGTAATGTCAATTGGCCAGGAATTGCTTGCTTATGGGAGAATCGATTTTACATAGCTGCTGATTACTCTTTTTTGTTTTGTTTCTAACGAAATGTCCTTGTTTGTCAATATTTTTCTTAGCTTTTGGAAGACAACTTTCGCTCATCCAAACCGCCTTCGGATTTCGGTGATACATTTTTTTTTGTCCTCTGTTAAAACACTTCCGAGATATCGAAATTTTTGTTCTTGCTTGATTTTAGGGTCTCCAATTGTTAGTTCGTATTTTAGGCTTCTTGAATTGATGTTTAATCCTTTCTCGAATTCCCTCGCGACATTCTGCAGTAGTTCCTGTAGTTTAATTCCTGTTTTCTGCTTTCAACACCGTCCAATCTACATATCTTGTAAGGATTCTGGCTGCCGATAATGAATACTGGTAGGAATAGTAATTCTCTCACGATCACCTCACTGGCGTATTTACGCTGTTTCCCCACTAAAACGAGTTATGACACAAGGTCATTTTTTAAGGTGGGGGAGAAAAAAATGGGAACATTTCCAGTTCTTTCAGAAATGCCTCGGGGCATAGGTTGAATAAGTCCGGTAAGAAGACACATCCTTGCTTTACATCCCTTCTTTTTTGTACGAGGATAATTTAATATTTGGAAGGTTAGGCAACGTCTTGGGTATGACGATAAACTACATCTACGTCCTGGGTAAGACGATAAACTACGTCCAACAGCAAGGCGTCTCATCAGGAGGTTTTGAGGAGCGTGGAACCACCTCTTAATTGTTGGTGTTCCCAGGTCCACTCTGACCCGGGGTGGTAGCAACTGTTAGGGTCCCAACTATGGGCAAGTAGTTAACCCTCAAATTGGGGTCAAAACACTATGAAAATGTAAAAATAGGTTTTAATATCAGAAATACTTTGTAATAAATTATCAGCAATAAATACATTTTAGAAAAAGAAATAGCAAGCATACGTTTTTGAAAAAAATATTACCAGCTATACATTTTTGACAAAACAAAATATTACCAGCAATAAAAATTTTGTCGGTATTAAATAATCCATTGATGTTGATGTGTAGTGACTATGTAGTAGCTTATCCATCCAGGCAAGAAATGGAGAAGAAGAGGACTAAGATGAGATATGTATAATTCTTGACAAGAGTAAACCGCACTTATTTCTACTTTTCAAATAAGCCTGTCGAGAAGGTTCGTTTGACTTAGGTACAATGTCATTTCGGGATAATTTTAAAAGCATTGTGATTATTGAATGAGATTCTTTTTTTTAAAATAATTATTATCCAATATTAGGGGACAATCATATAAAAGCCAGTGGAAAATGATATTTAGTTAAAATTTTAGAAAAGAAATCAAATTAAAATTGAAATAGGTAATCGCTGTCTGCTCGCATTCAAATATGCTTGTCTATTAGGGCGGTTAGCCAGTCTCTGTTGCAGATGCCTGCTCAAGTACATCCATCTATGTTTGTTTACCCCGATCCCAGAGCCCACCTGTCGTTCATACTGTAACTATGCTGAGTGGACCTCAGTTTATAGGAGAGAGCGCGTTATCTGGCGTGATCAACAGCCAGAACAAGACCAGTACGCTCAAACGCTCGGCCACGATGACTTGAGACTTCGTGCTAGTACAACCATCGGCATCCAACAGATAGTTCCGTTTAACCAATTTCAATGACAAGATTATTGGTAAACTCATGGTATAGTCTTTCGGGAACTTTTCATCGGTGCCACAAGCTGGGATCGCCCCCACCCCAGATCGATAACATCAAGGAGTTACCTTCCTAATAAATCGACTATGGTGACATTTGAAGTTTAATAAGGAAA